CTATTCCAAGTTTCGTGCTCCAGAACTGATGCATCGCCAGCTCCCTGTCTGCTGGGTTGTCGAACTCCGCTTCCAGTCGTTCAACCATTCTCTGCCGAGTCTCCTTCCCCTCTCCACGTTCCACGCCGTCATACTCTGCTTTCGCCCTACCCCTTAGCAACGTGCCAAGTACCACGACCTTTGCTCCTGGATCCCGGACACCCATTAGCTCCGTGACTAACTCGAAGTCACTATGGGCGACCTTGAGGTCGAATCAATAGTTGGAGGGGGTTGTTGGTATGACTAAAGATCGGTCACAGGGATGAAGATGTATTCCTTCTTGAAAATCTTCAAAGTTGTCAATATTTTCTCTGACCTTCACGTCTTAAACTCTCTCCCCTTCCCTATACTTTGCTTACCTTAATATGTCTGTTCGTCTATCCGCTTGTTGTTTTCATACTGCTGTGTATTAAGACAACTTGAACCGATGGATATGTGTACCAAGTTCTACGTTGATTTTTCTCTTTGATTATTTTGTTCTCTATCTGAATCAAGATCCATGAATTACCGTTTACCACTTTTACAGAATATGATCCCTAAACGGAGTCATCGATACCACCGATGCGCGTTGTGATTTTACAGTGACATCTAATCTCCTGCCTAGTACACCAACACTGTTATTCTAACCTTTGATGACCAACTTAAACTCATTCATTACTGCATTTACAGGACTGAACAAACCAGACTTCGTAGATAAATGGTCTTGATATTAACATACTTTATTGAAGATTTCAATCACACCTAAAATATTCTAGTATCAGGTAACGGTAGAAGATCGATAAATCCTAACCAGTAAATAAAACAATAGAAAAATCTGATTTTCAATTAAAATATCAGGTAGTTTCTGTAATTTTACTAACCCAAAGAATGAGGAGAGCTACTAAGTTGAAGATTTAGTGTGCAGACCTTAGACCTCAACAATCACTTCTGACCAACTGGGCATATATGACTCGTCAGCTAGTCCAAAATATTCCCGAGAATAAATTCTATCACTAATCGACAGACTTAATCAGTTAACGTTAACTTACAGATTTACCATTTGCCACCGTTAAACCTTGTCACAAAAGTATATTTCCAGGCTGCTAGTAGATAATTCTTCTCCTCCAACTACTACCAGTCTACTATGAATGCTTCATTAAAAACCAAATCCGCATTAACCTCAAACTACATCACTTTATGCTTTTCATTAGTGACATGCTTCTAGATGGAGGGAGATCTAGAAGTTCTAATGAGAAGTCATGCATGACCGACCTGTGAAGTCAACCAGTAGGAAGAGAAGGGGATACCAACTGAAGGCCTTGGGTGATAGTCGATCTATTTCACGAATTGACAGAGATGGGGAACTGTGAAACATTGAAATCCAACCTAACGGTTGAGGCGTTAACGCGTTCCCCACGAGACCTAAGGGTCCTGATTTCCCCCCCTGTCAGTGTCATGGGTGCGTAAAGCTGAAGACTCCCATACCAGGACGAAACAGCTGCCCACTACTTCCATATTTTCAGTGCTTCGCCAACTGATGTCAGTCCGTGATGAATAAATACTACTTTGAAAATAATTCTTCAACTGAAATTCCTACACTCACAGACACACATCAACGATGTATTTAAGGAATTCGCAGGTGAGTTTAAAACTGTAAAATTGCAGGTAAATCCAGCTGACCAGTCCCAAACAGGATGAAACGCGTGTCATGAATTCTCCTGTTAGCCACAACCAACCACATTATCATAATTAACATTCAGGTGATATCGAGGCATCCACGTAGGAGCTCATATGCCAACAGAGGTCGAACAATTCGATCCAATAAAAACAATGCAGAATAACAAGTATATCAATAACTAGTAAATATTTCAAGTTGTTATTCACCGTAGACTGACATCAGTTGGAGGAACAAAGGAAACCTGGGAGCACCGGACAGCTATTTCGACCTAGTATGTGACTCCTCAGCAGTGCACATCCACAACTCAGCCAGGTAGCGAACCCGTGACCTCCAGGTTCCGTGGCCAGCACGTCACCATTGAGCTACTCGGTCAGAATCCAATCCTCCAACTTATGCCAACCAGTCCACGATGAATAACAACTTGAAATTGAAATATTTCCTAATCACCACAACTCCCTCAAAACTAATAAATATCTCAACACCTTAGTACTGAAACACTGAATGATACTGCTGTTCACCATTTCATTAGCAATATAATCAGTGTGAATACGGCCTGTTGTTAAACAATCTGATCATGAAGTGAGTGACCTTTATAGACAGATATATGTTGATATTAATATGTGATGTAATACTGGGTCATGGTAATTTTTTGAAGAATCAAAAGAATATGCACTTTCTATTTACTGCGTTCTCTACTACTCTGTTGTTACTGTAATTTGTCAGTGGTGTTGACAGAGAAATGCAGATTAATGAGTCACACACACACACATGTGTACACAGAAACACGTGTTGGCACACACATGTAGACCGTTTTTCTTGTTGTTGTTGGTGGTGGTGATTGTGTTGTCGATTTTTATTGTGCAAAATACCAATTACCAATCATCAATCAGTCGATTGTTCATTCAAATTGAACTGATTATCAAAAGTACTCTGTACCCTACTAATATGTGAATAAAAATGTCATCAAAATGAATCATATTTATAAATTTTATACTTTCTTCATTCTATTGATTCGTCTATGCTTTATAGTTTTAGTTAGTAGGGGTCAAATAGGTCAAAGTTAATGTCTTCAAAATGAGTAATCAAAAATGTGGACACTACTAATATCTTCGACTTAAGAGTGCAGATACACTCGAATAGTAAATCTTGTCAAATTGTCTTTAAAAAGATTAACTAATGAAAGATGTTCACATTTCTTTCAGCTTTTTGGTTAAAAAAAAATCACAGGACTAGTGTTATAACTAATGAGCTAGGCGATCAGGGTTTTTTACTTTATGAAAAGTTATGCATTTAGCTCAAAATAAAGAAACTTGATTGGTTAATTCTATGCTTACTAGAGTGCCGTTTAGAAGCGCTCACTTGTATGCATGCGTCATGAAATTTGCATTGTTCATCCTAGTTCTGTGCTACTATAACTGGTACTACAATAATACTGATTATCGAGTCAAAGCCAATCAGGTCTCATGGTGTGTGCGTTACAATTTAGCTGCTGGGTTGAAAATTGACTCTAAGTGACTCTCTAATTCCTACTTCTGTCAATTCACGGTTTAGCACAACTATTGACTAATATCATAGGTGGGCATCTATCCGCCTCATCTTCATTTTGGTTAACCCCATAGGTCACTGCTTTTCACTAGAACTTCAAGAAATCCAACTGGAAACAATTCACTATTAAGCCTTGCTAAGTAATTCACTTGTAGACATGCAACAACTTACTCACTTGGAAGTAAATTTTGTTATCGACTAACATCAGTTAGAGAAAATCTGGATCAAATAGGTCAAAGTTAATGTCTTCAAATTACCACACAATTAACTTTGAAGATATCTCTGAAGGGTTACCGGATGAATTATTCATTTCCATTGTCATGCAGGAACTGTTAACGCTTCTATAGTTTATGAATACCTGGTGTTTTGATAGCGAGATTTGTAAAACACAAGGTAAAATTTCACGTTAATCCTTTTCATCCTATATGCCACCGTGGTAATTTATTACTTTCCAGCATAACATAAATAAAACATAAACTGTAATTCATACACAAATTTGTTTCTCATATAGTTGAATAAATCTAGTAATATGGAAGATACGTTCAAACTTGAGTTGCTAAATATCATACAACCTGTCAATTCAAATTTCCAACTAATCAATTATCTTCGTCACAGCTTTAATTAAACATTTGCAAATTGACTGATTTGCCTCCATATGAAGATTTATCGATTAACCTTTTTAAATAGTATATTGATTAAACATCACAGCTACATCTAACATTCTCTGATGAATGAATCATTAAAATACCATTAAAAAAGGCAGTTTGAATATTTTCAATATAGATTACACTTTGACTGAGTACATTCCATAAAGTTTACTTAGATACTACCAAATAAAAACACTTTAAAACCTCACTAAATATTAACATTCTTATGAATGAAGTTTTCTCACCCACTCCTCAAAAGTAATACATAACATACCCAGGAGTAGGTAAAAACATCCACAACCAATTATTAGGCCTGGATACTGGGTAATTTCACATGAAATCCATCTTATTACTTGCTTGGTGATGTCTAGTAGGGGAACCCATGATGGACTTTTCCTCATGTTCGGGACTGGTCAGCTGGATTTACCTACAATTTTACAGTTTTAAACTCACCTGCGAATTCCTTAATTACATCGTTGATGTATGCCTGTGTGTGTGAGTGTGATTGTGAGTATGAGTGTACGAATTTCAGCTGAAGAATTATTTTTAAAGTAGTAGACAAATGTCTACCACTGGACCCTAGCGAAGTGGCTTGATGGTAACGTGCTAGCCACGGAACTTGTAGGTTCTGAGTTCTATCCTTAGACGGGTCATAAGTGTTCATAACTGAGGTGTTGGATACTGGGATGAAGCAGCTGTTCAGTGATCCCAGGCCTTCAATACTTCGCTAAATTCTGTCAGTCCGTGAAATGTAATCAGCAATTACTTAATATCATTACTATGCCTAATGATCACTGATAATTTAGCCTATCGATCAGTTCACAATTGATATACTAATGACAATAACAACTAACCGTCTGGTATTTATGATAAGACATAATTCAAAAATATGTGTGCATATACACAATTCGCTACCTGAGATGCAAAACAGAGCTTGTATACGGAGTAACTAAGTTATGAAAATGAGACTCAGTTATGCTTGACCGGTGCTGTAGTGATTTTTAATATCACAGTGGAATATGTAAAGGTCAGAGAATTTCCGTGTAACAAAAATAACTTGTAGTGAAATGTACTGAATTAGAAAAATTTGAAAAACCAAACTCAAAAGACTGTTAGCTGGTAGTAGTAGTAGTAGTAGTAGTAGTGGTAGTAGTAGTAGTAGTAGTAGTAGTAGTAGTAGTAGTAGTAGTAGTAGTGTTAGTAGTAGTAGTAGTAGTAGTAGTAGTAGTAGTAGTAGTAGTAGTAGTAGTAGTAGTAGTAGTAGTAGTAGTAGTAGTAGTAGTAGTAGTAGTAGTAGTAGTAGTAGTAGTGTTAGTAGTAGTAGTAGTAGTAGTAGTAGTAGTAGTAGTAGTAGTAGTAGTAGTAGTAGTAGTAGTAGTAGTAGTAGTAGTAGTAGTAGTAGTAGTAGTAGTAGTAGTAGTAGTAGTAGTAGTAGTAGTAGTAGTAGTAGTAGTAGCAGCAGCAGCAGCAGCAGCAGTAGTAGTGATGGTAGGAGGAGGAGGAGGAGGAGGAGGAAGAAGAAGAAGAGGGGGAGGAGTGCAAGTAATATCAATAGTAGTATTAGCAGTAGTTTTGCTAATTAAACACTATCTAAGTTTGAGCGCAAATATTCATTATTCAATAAGTATTTTCAATGGACAAAAGTTACTCTCCGATTAATTTGCTTAAGTCATTTATCATTTTTACGCCCTTGGATAGATGTAAAATAGCCGGTCGATAAATGACTTCACTTAGCATCAAAAGATGTTCATAAATCGGTTTTCAGATGACAGCCAAAACAACACTATATAGATCTCAGTGATTATCGAACATTTTATAAACAGGGAATAAGGTAGATTCACATTCAACAATCAATCTACTTTTGGTACAACTTCTGAATGAGTTCAAGCAAACAAAAGATTAACACCCTCACATCTCTCCTTGGAGTCTAATATCCTGGAATGAAAGTTATTCAACAATCCTATGGCAGGATTGAATTTTTAACCCATTGTATCTAAGACAGAATGATGTAGATAGTTAGAATGAAAGCAAAATTATCCACAGGTTTTGCCTGCCTAATTAGAGTGTTATAAAAACAAAATTGTTCTAGTCATTAGTGTACTGAAAGGAATCCAACGCAAAGAATCAGACTGTTCAGTCGGTATGAATACTCCCAGTTTATTTGGTTCAGTAAATCATCTATGAGTTCAGTTTCTTCAAACCACTTAAATAACCTCCCAGTGTTTACATCACCTAGATGTGACTACCGAAACAACATGACCAGTATAAGTAAGCCTCAACTACATTTAAACGACACTTCCTACATTCCTTCAGTAAACCCTTTTCAATCATATAGACAATTTTCAATTCATACAGGTGAACTTGTCAATGCGAGTATTAAGTCAATCTCAATCTCCCTAAAAACTTAATTTTTAATCAATCAGTGACATTATGTCTGTTGTTAACTGAGTTATACATTTTATATAAGTTCTTTGAATAGGAATACTGACTGACACTTATTTCATCATTTACTTATAAACAAGTAAGACTCTCAGTTATCGATACCACAGAATTGCCATCAATACTGCTAACATACAACGAAATAAAGTCAAGCAAGTAATATAGAATGACGTGTTCTTAAGCGTAATAGTTTACAGAAACGAAAAATTCACTTTTGTAGTAATAGATTGTCATTAACGAAGATACTTCGCAGCAATGTTGTTGTACATAAGTAGTCACTGAAGTATTTTATTATTATCATTTTTCCCTTGGGTTCCTAGTGGAACATACCGCCTCAGTAGCACGCCTCCACTGCACTCTCACTCTCTGCAGTCTGACTCAACCTGCCTCCACGACTGCTCACAAGCTTTCATTTCTTCCTCACATGATCTCCTCCATGTCACTCTCAGCTGAGATGCCCAACTCATTGATATCCCCGAATAATCTTCTCAGTATATGCCCAATTCATATACACTTCCTTCTGCATATTTATTAAGTGACAGGTTGTTGGTTAGTTCGTTCCCAGAGTTCCTTGTTGCTTATTCTTATTATTTTGGCCATCTGATCGATCTTCAGTATCTAGTGAGCGTAGGCGGCAGCTATTGATGAATGTCTGTAGTTTAGTGGAAATGCTTTTCGTGACACGCCAAGTCTCTGAATCACCACATAGAAGCACTGACTTACTTGCCATTAGTGTTGAAAATCTCGATCTTGTTCACGCTTTATGCTGAGTGGAGTGGAGTGGAATGGAGTGGAATAGATCTGCACACTGATTTCAGATTGATGAAGGCCTGTCTTACTGTCTTTCTGATCCTGGTTTTCACATCCTCATCTGCGTCGCCGCCACCTGTAGTTGAAACGATGCTGCCTAGGTAGGTAGGTAGGTAGGTAGGTAGGTAGGTAGGTAGGTAGGTAGGTAGGTAGGTAGGTAGGTAGGTAGGTAGGTAGGTAGGTAGGTAGGTAGGTAGGTAGGTAGGTAGGTAGGTAGGTAGGTAGGTAGGTAGGTAGGTAGGTAGGTAGGTAGGTAGGTAGGTAGGTAGGTAGGTAGGTAGGTAGGTAGGTAGGTGAAAGAGACTACTTCCTTTAGGTTTCTCCCGTTAATGGTGATTGGTGATTGTTGTTGGTGATGTTTTTCGTTGGATATCTTCATCACTTCCATAAACTCTACATTCACTTGAAGTCCCGTCTTCGCTGCCCTGCCCTGCCTCTTCTGTCAAATTGTTAGTTTTTGCCTGTAGATCTTCGAGTTTGTGTGACATAAGACATTAGACATAAATCATCACCGACGAAATCCAAGTCTTCTTCTGGGGTCTTTTCATCGTTCCAGCCAGGGTATGCACATCTTCTCGCTCCGCACGGTTTGCTGCATGATCCAGTGCAGTTCATCACAATCGGGAAGATCATGGGTGATAGTAGGCAGCCGTGTCTTACTCCTGTCCTCACTTCAAAGGCATCACTGAGCTGCTTTCCATTGTGGGTTACTTGGCATTTGGCCTTTTCATATGGCTGTTGAATGAGGTTGATAAACACTAGCGGCAGTGAAATCGTAGTGTTGAGACAACTGTAAAATTACTTCTCGGTTGACTCTGTCGAAAGCCTTCTCAATGTTGATGAAGTTGAGGTAGCGAGTCGACTGGTATTCTATACTCTGTTTTATGATGATGAGTAGCGCTGCGCTGTAATTTGATCCGCACATGATTTGTTCTTCCTGAAACCAGCCAGCCTGTTCCGGTCGTAATTTTGAATCCAGTGCATCTTTTAGTCTCTTTAGGATGATGAAGCTTAATATTTTACCTAGGGTGGACAGGAGCATGACTCCGCGCCAGTTCTTGCAAAGACTTAAGTCCCCCTTCTCTGGGAGTTTGACAAGGTAGCCCTTCTCCCAATCAGTCAGCAGGTACCTTTCTGCCTTCCAAACCTTCTGAGTCACTGAAGTATACTACTTAGAAATTATAAATATTTTTTAATGTCAGGATTTCACTAGACACGTCAGTGTCATTGAAGTACTATATGGCTATTTCTCTCATTTGAAAATAAATTATGCACACACAGAGAAAAGCAGAGCTGTTCCAGTTCTCTGAATAATTCCATTTTTCCTGAATCACTTCCATCAATCAGGTCAAAAGAAGAATTTTGACATAGAGATTCATCAAGAAGAGTTTCAGTTAAGAAGAGGCTTTGATAAGTTTGAGAACTTTATCCCATCTTTTATCGTATGGATTTACACTGAAATTTTTTTGTCATTATAACAGTGAATTTTAGCCTACTCATCAGGTGATTTCTTATCAGATCGCTATTTTCAAGGGATTTTTATCAAAGTTCGAAGTCACCTAAAGAAATATAGGAAAAATAGCAGCAGTCGACGGTTGCTTCATGTTAGTTACTCCATGATGACAATTACCTTGAGCTTATTCTATTTACAAAAGTAGAAGTGTTTATCACCTGTAAATTAAAAGATCACCCTACCAAGTGCCAAAATAAACAATCAGGTTCCAGAATTTCAGTTTGAAAGGCGAAGTAATCGGTTATCTCACTAGTTGTTAGAGTGGCCTTTGAAATCACTGAATTCAAGAGTTAAAGTACCCATTTTTGTTCAGCATTGTCTGTGTAGAAGTTCTATTCTTCTTTGGAGTTCTTCAACATTGATAAGTTATTTATCCGTGTAAGTTCATAAATTCTTTTTTTAAAAAGCTTCAGCGTAGGTGTTGACGCTTACTTTTTTTAGCCAGTCTCTCTCTCTCTCTACATATATATATATATATATATATATATATATATATATATATATATATATATCATCCCACGTGCTCTTGCATTCTCACGCCTACACACACTAATGTTGATTGGTTGTCTTGGCTTTACGCACTTTACGCTTCATTTACGTTTTTGGAAAACAAACCTATTTTAGCGTCGAAGATGGATACATCCATTGGATGAAAAAAAAACCTGAATTACATACCATCACATTGTAATTTCCTTCTATTATTTAACCGCATCTTGTTCATAAATATTTAGAGAGTAAAAAGGTTACTAGTATGAAACAGTTATAGCTTAAGTTTATGGTATATATTTATTATCAATGCAATCTTTATGACGATGACAACACAGAAAGTTTTAAGTGCTTGATATATACCCTACTAGAATATGTCTTGAATCTGTTCAGCTCACTGTTCATTATAGCGATAGTTAGAATTGATTATTTCATTTTTACTATGATTGCATTCATTGCTCATAATAAGTAAATTTGAACAGTGGAGACTGTAGTCAGAATATGAATAAATTCAGGAATGGATGGTGACCTTGAACAACCAATCACAGTGCCACTCAGTGAACCAATAGGACATTAGTCGTACATAGATGGATTTCCGAGCTTCACATCATAAATAGGGCTAGTGATAGGAATTAGTACTAACCTACTCAGCCAGATAAGATCTCTTATATATACCTGGGTTTAATGGATAACAATCAGACCAACCTTTTGAGCTTTCATGTGACTATAACTATGCATACAACTGATGCAATACTAACATTTTCTATGATGAGGTCAACAAGTGAATAAAAACAGGATGAATAGTGATAATTTTTTCATCCAACTATTTCCAGTCCATTGAAAGCTGCATATGACTTACATAATCATGAAGCAGTTGATGAAGCCTGATGAAAAATGCTATAAAAATTTTAAAACGGACCATATACTAAATAATAAAATTATTATTTCTTTCTAAATAGTAAAACGCTCAACACTAATTTATTACTGAAAAGAAAGTCAGAAGTTGTCTATAAAACTAATGTTGTGCACATTTGATGTGTTCCCTTCTGTACATATTTCATCTCAATAGTTTAGCAAACCAACCATTTATTAGATCCTAACCTTTCCCATGGTAACTGCAACTCATGAATGACTGAATTCTATTGATCAATGTCAGAGTGTGGTTGCTTCCAGCAATCCATGAGAACTACGCCCACCATTCAGTATTCACTATATGGTGACGGTTGAAACTGTAAACTGACCAAGCTGTGAAAACTACGTGACAGATTACCTGTCTTGTTTATCAACAAAGGAGCTGAGGAACTCAACTATCGATAAGGTTTTGAGCATACTTGAGTTCAAGTATTGTGTTGCCAGTTGTTAAAATCACCTCAACTCGTGAGATGACTTAGAACTGTATATATTTTTTAAATCTAACATCGCATAACGCTCTAACAGTTTTTTTAGTTCACTCCAAAGTGAGTAAACTGCTTGCAAAATTTACTCCGAT